CTTCAGTTGGGAGGCCAAGAAAAGCAATCCTGGGAACAGCCACTTGCCTTGTGCCTAGAGCTTAAGCTTACAGCAGGAAAATATGCCCAATTTGAAGGAAAAACCTACTGCTTTTGGCCTAGCCTTCAACACAAGGTCAAGGGGAGAAGAATCCAGTTCAAGAAAGATTTTATTGAATGAATACTTGACTTGAATACAAGTATGTTATACTGCTGCAGTTGTCTACAGCAATGGTTATCACCATCAAACAAAAGAACAACTGTGGTTTCCAAATGAAGAGTTGTCTGTAAAAGCCTAGCTGATGCTTATAGCACATTCTTACACTTGGATTTTGTCTCCAACTAGTGCTTTTTACTACTCAATTGAGTCAATACGAGTTCTCCACAAGAGAAGTTTCGCTCCATCATGATTTTGTAGCTATAGGTTGTTAATGTTCCAGGTGGAGCTGAACACAAAAGCCACAGTAAGATGGGTCAAGACTTGTTCAGTGTTGGATTTTGCAGGTGCACAAAGCCCAGTTAAGGGCTGGTCAGAACATACCTGCTCCCCGTACTGTAGGCTGCGAGACATGGACTTGAGAGCTTTCACAATTTGAGCTTTTGTGGCAGATGGGCTTTCCAAGTTTTCAAGGCCAATACCTTCTAGCAGTTTTAGAAGATAAGGGACCAAATCTGCTTTCAGAGCCTGTAAACAGACACAAGTGAGTTACCTTGATATGCACTTAACACGTTTTAACAAGTTTAGTTTGATTAGCAACCTTCACATCTTGCTGCTTTTGCAAGAAACAGGCTCAAACCTTTTCCTGTGCACTAAGTTTCAGTACTGGGGTTAACATCCTTGAGCAGGCTTATGTTTTGAATAAGGGGTAAGTTTGTCTTCTCCAATATGGAAAGTACATTATTGGATGGCTTCTGACATTGCTCGACTCTTGAATTGGATGGTACCTCTTTTTATAAAGAGATTAGATGAACAAAAGTTACATCATTCTACAGAGTAAGAACATGCTACTTACTTGGGCTACTAAGTCATTTTGTTCCTTCTGAAACATCCGATTAAGGGCTTCACAGGCTACACCAACTATATCGGATCTCTTTTTCATTCCATTCATGAGAGGGCCAATGGTCTCAAGTGATGCCATTGCTCGAACACAAAGCTATGAGGAGACAAGCATCCAGAATGTTTTATTTTATCTTTTTTTAGGCCAACCTTGATTCTGATCAGCCAAGACCAAGCTTCTCAGTGTCATTAAACTCTTGACTCTCCACTGAGTCTCTGCTTATCTGCTATGCAATATTTATAATCAGAATAATGCACTAGGATCATTAGCAAACAAAAACCTACTCATAGCTTTTAAAATAATTTCTCAAGAGTGATTTGGTACCTCATTGTCAGACAGTATGTGCATGACACGAATGGCACTTTTCGGAATGGCGTTGTTCTTGTGATTCATGGCCTGGATTATCTTGTGAAGATGACCAAGTGGAGGGACTTGGTCAGCAAGCTGAGGCTGGGCGCTGAATAGGCACACAGTTGCTGTGGTTATAGTTTCTAAGGTTTCCCCCTGCAGGGGGAAAATAAATAAATAAATCAGTAAAGCCTAATGTCTCATCATATTAGGAATAATGATTCACACTTCCATGCCATTACAGTACACACTGCCTCATACTTTTACTGTTGAAACTGTTAAAACAAGGAACCAGAAGAAACAGTTCCAGTAGCCGTGGCCAAATACACACTGAACTTCACGGATTACACTGAAATTGAACCCTGTTTTCAGTCCAGAGGAGCTGATGGCTGGCAGAGCAGCACACAAGCTTGGCGACAGTAAGGATGTTTAGGCTGTCTGAAGGGATTTCTGCAGTGCCTGCAGCCAGACTGATCACACCTGCTGAATGCTGCATGCCCATCCAAACTCCAGCACATCTCTGTACTAAGGCTATTACATTCATATCACAAGTAAGTTGCCTCTTTTAATTTGCCCCTAGCATCTGTCTGAACACTTTAAAAATCAGTTTATTACCAGTGTAATTAAGCCACTGACTTGCACATAGAACTAATGTTTCAGTTTGAATAAGAGTTTTGTATTAAGCTATTTGTCAGATGACAACTCCAGGTCCCATAAATTCACACCATCAGCATGAGAAACCAGTACTGCAGAAAGAAAACACCAGAAAGTGCATCAAGACTTGAAAGATTTGAGGCTGTGAGAAAACAGGTGCCATATCAGTCAGCTGCAGAATAATTAAAAGACTCATTACCACCCTAACATATGACCCAGACTTACTGAGGCCAATTCTGTGGCTTCAGGGACTTAAACAA